ATGTCCCCGTGTCCCTCACCGGTGTGCGTGCGCACGTGCCGCTTGAGGTCGAAGGTGTCATTGAAGCCCTTGCCGCAGTAGGGACACAGGTGACGCTTCACCTCGCTGTGACACTTGAGGTGGCGGCTCAGGAGCCGCTGCAGCCCGAAGGCCTTCTGGCACACGGGGCAGCGGAGGGCCCCGGCGTCCGGGAGCGCGGGGCCGCCCTGGGGACGGGGACAGTGTGGGGACATCCCTATGGGACCCTATAGAGCTCTATGGGACCCTATGGAACCCTATGGGACCCTATGGGATCCCCTGGACCCTATGGAGCCAGCAGCACACGGGGCACCAGGGCCCCGGCGTCCGGGAGCGCGGGGCCGCCCTGGGGACGGGGACTGCCCTGTGGGACCCTATGGGATCCTATAGAACCCTACAGGAACCCTATGGGAACCTATGGGACCCTGTGGAACCCTATGGGACCCTGTGGGATCCCCTGGACCCTATGGGACTCTGTGGAACCCTGTGGAACCCTATAGGAACCTATGGGATCCCCTGGGCCCTATGGGAACCTATGGAACCCTATGGGAACCTATGGGACCCTATAGAACCCCATAGGAACTTATGGGATCCCCTGGACCCTATGGAGCCAGCAGCACACGGGGCAGCAGAGGGCCCCGGCGTCCGGGAGCGCGGGGCCGCCCTGGGGACAGGACAGCCCTGTGGAACCCTATGGAACCCTATAGAACCCCATAGGAACCTATGGGACCCTGTGGAACCCTATGGGACCCTATGGGACCCTATGGGATCCCCTGGACCCTATGGAGTCGGAAGGACAGGGCCCCAGCGTCCGGGAGCGCGGGGCCGCCCTGGGGACGGGGACTGCCCTGTGGGACCCTATGGGATCCTATAGAACCCTACAGGAACCCTATGGGAACCTATGGGACCCTGTGGAACCCTATGGGACCCTGTGGAACCCTATGGGACCCTGTGGAACCCTATGGGACCCTGTGGAACCCTATGGGACCCTGTGGAACCCTATGGGACCCTGTGGAACCCTATAGGAACCTATGGGATCCCCTGGGCCCTATGGGAACCTATGGAACCCTATGGGAACCTATGGGACCCTATAGAACCCCATAGGAACTATGGGATCCTGTGGAACTCCATGGGACCCTATGGGATCCCCTGGACCCTATGGCATCGGAAGGACAGGGCCCCGGCGTCTGGGAGCGCGGGGCCGCCCTGGGGACGGGGACAGCCCTGTGGGACCCTATGGGATCCTATAGAACCCTATAGGAACCTATGGGACCCCATGGGAAGCTCTGTGACCCTATAGAACCCTGTAGAACCCTATGGGAACCTATAGGAACCTATAGAACCCTATAAAACCCTATGGGAACCTATGGGATCCTCCAGACCCTATGGGAACCTATGGACCCCTATGGGATCCTATGGGACCCTATGGAACCAGCAGCACACGGGGCAGCACAGGGCCCCGGCGTCCGGGAGCGCGGGGCCGCCCTGGGGACGGGGACAGCCCTATGGGACCCTATGGAACCCTATGGGAACATATGGGACCCTATGGAACCCTATAGGAACCTATGGGACCCTATGGAACCCTATGGGAACATATGGGACCCTATGGAACCCTATAGGAACCTATGGGACCCTATGGAACCCTATGGGAACATATGGGACCCTATGGAACCCTATAGGAACCTATGGGACCCTATGGAACCCTATAGAACCCCATAGGAGGCAGACTGGGGGGGGGGAGAGCCCGAAATGAGCCGAAACCGCCCCAAAATGAGCCGAAACCGCCCCAAAACGAGCCGAAACACCCCGAGATCCCCCCAGAACACCCCGAAATAACCCCCAAAACACCCCAAAATCACCCCAAGGCCACCGGGAATCGCCCCAAAATGACCCGAAACACCCCGAGATCAACCCAGAACACCCCGAAATAACCCCCAAACACCCCAAAATCACCGCGGAGCACAGCGAGATCACCCCAAAATCACCCGAAATAATCAGAAACACCCCAAATCACCCCAAAACACCCCAAAGTCACCCCAAGGCCACCCGGAATCGCCCCAAAATCACCTGAAACACAGCGAGATCACCCCAAAATAACCCAAAACACCCCCAAGTCACACCAAAACACCCCGAAACACCCCAAAGTCATCCCAAAACCACCCGGAGTCGCCCAAAAATCACCCGAAAGACCTGAAAACATCCCGAAACCACCCCAAAATGAGCCGAAACTGCCTGGAACGGCCCCAAAATCACCCCAAAACACCCCGAGATATCTCCAAACACCCCAAAATCACTCCAAAATCACCTGAAACACCCTAAAGTCACCGCGAAACTGCCCAGAATTGCCCCCAAAACACCCCAAAACGCCACAAAGTCACCCCGAAACCACGCGGAATTGCCCCAAAATCACCCCGAAATATCTCGAAACACCCCGAAATCACTCCAAAATCACCCAAAACACCCCAAAGTCACCCCGAAACCACCCGAAATCACCCCCAAACCATCCCGAAACACCCTGAAAGACCCCAAAGTCACCCCGAAACTGCCCAGAATCACCCCAAAATCACCCCGAAACACCCCGAGATCACCCCGAAACACCCCGAAATCACCCAAAACAGCCCAAAACACCCCGAGATCAGCACAAAAAAACCCGAAACCGCCCAGAATCGCCCCAAAATACCCGGAGATCACCGCAAAACACCCCAAAATCCCCCAAGGTCACCCAAATTACCTCGAATCTACCCCAAATCGCCCAGAAACCCCCAAATTGCCCCTTTAAAAGCCCCCCCGGGACATTGGGGGGGTCAAAGTGCCCCAAAACGAGCCGAAATCACCCCAAAACACCCCCCCACACACATAGTGGGACAAAGTCACCCCCAAAACCCCCAGAATTGCCCCCATTGTCCCCGCTGTCCCCATGTCCCCATTGTCCCTATGTCCCCATTGTCCCCTCATTGTCCCCGTTGTCCCCTCATTGTCCCCCATTGTCCCCATTGTCCCCATTGTCCCCGCTGTCCCCATGTCCCCATTGTCCCTATGTCCCCATTGTCCCCTCATTGTCCCCGTTGTCCCCTCATTGTCCCCCATTGTCCCCATTGTCCCCATTGTCCCCGCTGTCCCCATGTCCCCATTGTCCCTATGTCCCCATTGTCCCCTCATTGTCCCCGTTGTCCCCTCATTGTCCCCCATTGTCCCCATTGTCCCCATTGTCCCCGCTGTCCCCATGTCCCCATTGTCCCTATGTCCCCATTGTCCCCTCATTGTCCCCGTTGTCCCCTCATTGTCCCCCATTGTCCCCATTGTCCCCATTGTCCCCGCTGTCCCCATGTCCCCATTGTCCCTATGTCCCCATTGTCCCCTCATTGTCCCCGTTGTCCCCTCATTGTCCCCCATTGTCCCCATTGTCCCCATTGTCCCCGCTGTCCCCATGTCCCCATTGTCCCTATGTCCCCATTGTCCCCTCATTGTCCCCGTTGTCCCCTCATTGTCCCCCATTGTCCCCATTGTCCCCATTGTCCCCGCTGTCCCCATGTCCCCATTGTCCCTATGTCCCCATTGTCCCCTCATTGTCCCCGTTGTCCCCTCATTGTCCCCCATTGTCCCCATTGTCCCCATTGTCCCCGCTGTCCCCATGTCCCCATTGTCCCTATGTCCCCATTGTCCCCTCATTGTCCCCGTTGTCCCCTCATTGTCCCCCATTGTCCCCATTGTCCCCATTGTCCCCGCTGTCCCCATGTCCCCATTGTCCCTATGTCCCCATTGTCCCCTCATTGTCCCCGTTGTCCCCTCATTGTCCCCCATTGTCCCCATTGTCCCCATTGTCCCCGCTGTCCCCATGTCCCCATTGTCCCTATGTCCCCATTGTCCCCTCATTGTCCCCGTTGTCCCCTCATTGTCCCCCATTGTCCCCATTGTCCCCATTGTCCCCGCTGTCCCCATGTCCCCATTGTCCCTATGTCCCCATTGTCCCCTCATTGTCCCCGTTGTCCCCTCATTGTCCCCCATTGTCCCCATTGTCCCCATTGTCCCCGCTGTCCCCATGTCCCCATTGTCCCTATGTCCCCATTGTCCCCTCATTGTCCCCGTTGTCCCCTCATTGTCCCCCATTGTCCCCATTGTCCCCATTGTCCCCGCTGTCCCCATGTCCCCATTGTCCCTATGTCCCCATTGTCCCCTCATTGTCCCCGTTGTCCCCTCATTGTCCCCCATTGTCCCCATTGTCCCCATTGTCCCCGCTGTCCCCATGTCCCCATTGTCCCTATGTCCCCATTGTCCCCTCATTGTCCCCGTTGTCCCCTCATTGTCCCCCATTGTCCCCATTGTCCCCATTGTCCCCGCTGTCCCCATGTCCCCATTGTCCCTATGTCCCCATTGTCCCCTCATTGTCCCCGTTGTCCCCTCATTGTCCCCCATTGTCCCCATTGTCCCCATTGTCCCCGCTGTCCCCATGTCCCCATTGTCCCTATGTCCCCATTGTCCCCTCATTGTCCCCGTTGTCCCCTCATTGTCCCCCATTGTCCCCATTGTCCCCATTGTCCCCGCTGTCCCCATGTCCCCATTGTCCCTATGTCCCCATTGTCCCCTCATTGTCCCCGTTGTCCCCTCATTGTCCCCCATTGTCCCCATTGTCCCCATTGTCCCCGCTGTCCCCATGTCCCCATTGTCCCTATGTCCCCATTGTCCCCTCATTGTCCCCGTTGTCCCCTCATTGTCCCCCATTGTCCCCATTGTCCCCATTGTCCCCGCTGTCCCCATGTCCCCATTGTCCCTATGTCCCCATTGTCCCCTCATTGTCCCCGTTGTCCCCTCATTGTCCCCCATTGTCCCCATTGTCCCCATTGTCCCCGCTGTCCCCATGTCCCCATTGTCCCTATGTCCCCATTGTCCCCTCATTGTCCCCGTTGTCCCCTCATTGTCCCCCATTGTCCCCATTGTCCCCATTGTCCCCGCTGTCCCCATGTCCCCATTGTCCCTATGTCCCCATTGTCCCCTCATTGTCCCCGTTGTCCCCTCATTGTCCCCCATTGTCCCCATTGTCCCCATTGTCCCCGCTGTCCCCATGTCCCCATTGTCCCTATGTCCCCATTGTCCCCTCATTGTCCCCGTTGTCCCCTCATTGTCCCCCATTGTCCCCATTGTCCCCATTGTCCCCGCTGTCCCCATGTCCCCATTGTCCCTATGTCCCCATTGTCCCCTCATTGTCCCCGTTGTCCCCTCATTGTCCCCCATTGTCCCCATTGTCCCCATTGTCCCCGCTGTCCCCATGTCCCCATTGTCCCTATGTCCCCATTGTCCCCTCATTGTCCCCGTTGTCCCCTCATTGTCCCCCATTGTCCCCATTGTCCCCATTGTCCCCGCTGTCCCCATGTCCCCATTGTCCCTATGTCCCCATTGTCCCCTCATTGTCCCCGTTGTCCCCTCATTGTCCCCCATTGTCCCCATTGTCCCCATTGTCCCCGCTGTCCCCATGTCCCCATTGTCCCCGTTATCCCCATTGTCCCCTCATTGTCCCCGTTGTCCCCTCATTGTCCCCATTGTCCCCATGTCCCCGTTATCCCCATTGTCCCCCGTTATCCCCATTGTCCCCATTGTCCCCGTTGTCCCCTCACTGTCCCCGTTGTCCCCATTGTCCCCGTTGCTCACGGGGTACGTAGATCTCCGCTCGCTGCTCGTCGGGCAGGGCGCTCCAGTCCCGCTCGGCCGAGGCCACGCGGGGCTTCTTCACCAGGAACGCGCGCGGCATCCCGGCGGATCCGGAAAATCCCGGCGGATCCGGAAGATCCCGACGGATCCGGATGATCCCGGCGGATCCGGAAAATCCCAATGGATCCGGAAAATCCCAATGGATCCCAATCCGGAAAATCCCAGCGGATCCGGAAAATCCCAATGGATCCGGATGATCCCGGCGGATCCGGAAAATCCCGGCGGATCCGGAAAATCCCAATGGATCCCGGCGGATCTGGAAAATCCCGACGGATCCGGAAAATCCCAAGGGATCCGGATGATCCCAATGGATCCGGATGATCCCGGCGGATCCGGAAAATCCCGGCGGATCCGGAAAATCCCAATGGATCCCAATCTGGCAAATCCCGGCGGATCCGGCAAATCCCGGCGGATCCGGATGATCCCGGCGGATCCGGAAAATCCCAATGGATCCGGATGATCCCAATGGATCCGGATGATCCCCGTGGATCCGGAAAATCCCGGCGGATCCTGCAAATCCCGGTGGATCCCGATCCGGCAAATCCCGATGGATCCAGCTGATCCCGGCGGATCCGGATGATCCTGATGGATCCGGATGATCCCGATGGATCCCGATCCGGCAAATCCCGATGGATCCAGCTGATCCGGGTCCCGATGGATCCTGATCCGGCAAATCCCAACGGATCCGGCTGATCCCGGTGGATCCGGCTGATCCCGGCAGATCCCAATCCGGCAAATCCCGATGGATCCGGCTGATCCCGGCAGATCCGGATGATCCCGATTGATCCTGATCCGGCAAATCCCAGCGGATCCGGCTGATCCCGATGGATCCCGATCCGGCTGATCCCGGCAGATCCCGCTGATCCCAATGGATCCGGCAGATCCCGATGGGCCCCGATCCGGCAAATCCCGACGGATCCGGCAAATCCCGATGGCTCCTGCCCGATTACAATGGATCCAGCTGATCCCGATGGATCCTGATCCGGCAAATCCCAACGGATCCGGCAAATCCTGATGGATCCAGCAAATCTCGATGGATCCCCCCCGGTCCTGCTGGATCCGGCAAATCCCACTGGATCCATTACAATGGATCCGGCTGATCCCGATGGATCCTGATCCGTCAAATCCTGACGGATCCGGCTGATCCCGATGGATCCCGCCCAGTCCTGCTGGATCCGGCAAATCCCGATGGGTCCTGCCCGATCACGATGGATCCCTCCCGATCCCAATAGATCCAGCTGATCCCGATGGTTCCCGACTGATTCTGATGGATCCCGGCCGATCCCAATGGATCCCAGCAGCTCCCAGCCAATCCCGGCGGATCCGGGAATTCCACAGAGCCCCGAGTCCCGCTCGGCTGCAGCCTCCAAGGCCGAATCTCCAGCTGGATTTGGGATCGGATCCCAAATCCCGGCTCAGTTTACGTGTTGGATCCGGAATCTCTGGTCAGTTTGGGCGTCAGATCCCAGATTCTGGCTAAATTTCCATGTTGGAGCCCGAATCTCCAGGCAGTTTTGGTATCAGATTCCCAAATCCCAGCTCGGTTTCCACGTGAAATCCCAAATCTTCGGCCAGCTTCCGTGTCGGATTTCCGGATCCCAGCTCAGTTTCCGTTTTGGATCCTGAATCTCCAGCCAGTTTTGGCTTCAGATCCCAGATTTTGGCTCAGTATCCGTGTCGGATCCTGAATCTCCGGACGGTTTCAGCATCAGATCCCAAATCCCAGGTTAGTTGCAGCTTTTGACCCCAAATTCCCAGTTAATTTTGCTGTTAGATCCTGATTTTCCATTCCATTTCAGTCCCATATTGCAGATCCCCAGGCAGCTTCCACAGTGAATTCCCAGATTCCGGCTCAGTTTCCGCGTTGGATCCCAAATTTCCGCTCAGTTTTGCTGTTAGATCCTGAATTTCCAGTCGCTTTCCGTCCCGGACAGCAGATTCCCAGTGAGTTTCAATCCCAAATCCCACGTCACTTTGTGCCCCAAATCACAACTTTCCGGTCAGTTTTCATCAGAATTCCCAGATTCCCGCTCAATTTCGGCACCGCATCCCAAAATCCATGGCCAATTTTGGCGCCAGACCGGAAGTCACCGGTCGATTTCCATGCTGGATCCCAAATCCCGCGTCGGTTTTGGGGCCGGAATCGGAATTCCCGGTCAACTTTGGCGCCGTATTCCCAAATCCTCAGGCGGTTTTGGTGCCTGTGGATCCCTCTGGATCCCCGTGGATCCCTGTGGCTCCGTGGGGCTGGGTGGATCCGTGGAGATCCCTGTGGATCCGTGCGGCTCCGTGTGGATCCTTGGAGCTCCGAGTGGATCCTTGGAGCTCCGAGTGGCTCCAAGCGGCTCCGTATAGATCCTCG